ATAAAAAAGAAATCCTGCCATTTGCAACAACATGGATGGACCTTGATGGCTTCCTGAGTAATAAGTCAGACAGAGAAAGACAAATACTGCATGATCCCACTTATATGTGGAAGCTTAAAAAAAACTGAACTCATGTATATAGAGAAGAGGTTGGTGGTTGCCAGAGGCAGGGTGTGTGTGGGGAGGGGCGGAAAAGTGGGTGAAGGTGCCCAAACGGCACGAAGTTCTAGTTATAAGACATGTAAGTCCTGGGGTCACTATAGCTAATAATATTACATTATATATTTGAAAGTTGTTAAGGGAGTAGATCTTAAAAGTTCTCATCACAAGAAAAAACATTTTTATAACTGTATGGTGATGGATGTTAACTAAACTTTTTATGGTAATCATTTCATAATATATACATATATCACATCATTACACTGTATACCTAAAACTAATATGATGTTATATGTTAATTGTATCTCAATTACAATAAATAATAAAATGAAATGCAGATTCTGAATAGCTGCATTTCAAGTCCTCAACAGCTGCCCTGGCTAGTGGCTCCTGTCCTGGTCAGGACAGGATGTGGCATCTTGTTAGTAACACTGCAGAAAGTTCTACTGGGCAGCGCAAGCCCAGACCACCGTGACGTGTCACAGAATCATGCCACCAGGGAAATCTAGCATCCATTCATTCCTTTATGCATGCATGCATTCATTTATTCATTCATCATAAGCTACTTATTAAGCACATTTCTGTGCATAAAATGCACCCCTGGGTGCCCGTCCTGCCTCACTCACTGTTGCAGCCAGGCTGGCAGTGACATCCAATGGTGATGTGGGTGAAGATGGTGGCAGCGTGACTGTTCTACTGAAGGGGGGGTAGCATGGAGCAGGTAACTAACAGGTTGTTATAAGGAAAATAGGTGGGTGGTGGGGAGCTGCTGGGAGCCCACTTTTTGGATGGGTTATTACATACTGTAAAAGGGAGACTATTGGTTCCTTCCTCCCAACAGACGTTGCTCTGCAGGGGAAGCAGAGCTGAGAAAACCGGAGAAAAACGAACAGACCTTCCAAGCTTCAGTTCCCTTCCAAGCTCTGTCACTTACAGCTCACTAGCTGGGCAAGTCACTTAGTCTGGGGAATGTCAAAAATCGTGACAAGCCCATTACCAACCACGCCCTCCTCCTGAGCCCAAGGCAGACGTCGCGAATCACTCAGGCACCTTTTCCTTGATGAACTAGAAGGAAGGTTCCAGGTCTTTCCTAAGACAGGCAGCCATTTCCAAGCAGAGGGAGCAAAAGAGACCCAGTCTATGTGCCCCGTGGGACCTCCCTATGCAAGTCTGATTCCTATCTACAC